GTGGGTCATTTGTGAAATGAAGGAATCCGAATGTAAGTATTGGAGACAATCGTGGAACACGTGTCGCAATTTAACCTACAACGAAGGCGCGTACTGTCTGAACATGTGTACGAGGAAAGTGTGTGTGTTTACTGTTTGTTCACCTTCTTGTGCAGTTGTATCTCTCGACTCAACGGAGTCGAACCGAGCCCTACAGATTCTGAGAGCTTCAGGAATCTTGAGAATATTATCTCTTTCGTGCTGGACAGATTGAGCGTTGTATATTACAGCAATAATTTGTATAGGAAAGCTGCGACTGTGTACGCATTGAATGCCTTGTTAACGTATAACCAGTCAAACACAAAAGCTTTTCGTAGATGGGTGCACATTTCATCGAAATTATTAAAAGTAAGTTATACATGTATTATAGATGTATGTGACTACAAATTACAACTTTTTTCATAATGGTTTTATTAAATCTTTATCTCTTTTCTTTCTTTTCAGAAGAAGTAACATCACGTTATGTTACATTAACGGAAACAGTTGCAGACATAGTTGCAGAGTGGATACGCTTTACAGCACAGTGAAATAAGAGAGACAAATCAAAGGAAACGGTTGACGGAAATGATAAAGAAAACATTGCTGATCCAAACCATGAAGAAAGTAACTAAAAATAAAAGTTGCATTATATATGCATGTATATATTTATATATATTACCACTGTAAACTCGATGTAAAGGATTTCACTGGTGCGGATTCTGTCATCTGAAGGAAACAGTATCGGTGATGGTTATAAAACAAGCCAGTGGGTGCTGGGACTGTTCCCTTTTAAAGATAGAGTCCGCACTAGCTACGCTAGTGGGTGCTGGGACTATCTTTTTTGGGAACAGAGTCCGCGCTGGCTACGCTTGGGTGTCACTCTTGGGTGGCAGAGTCTGCACCAATGGGATTTTTAAATCGAGTTTACTACGGTTACCTGAAAGTTATCTTTCTTTTATTTTTGAATTGCGAGATCTCAGAGTATACATTGTAATTTTGTAAAGTGCAAACTTATTTCTAACATTCTGCAAAGTTTTGGTTTTTTCTAATATTCTCTTGGTCTTTTATAATATAATTTGGTTTGGACAATGCCCTTGAACATAATTAACGTTTTGCAGAATGCAGAATGTTTGAAGTATTTGAATGTTTCAAATTTCTTGTGTGATTCTGTATTTGTAAATGTATATTTTTGGTCACACTGCGACTGACATTCTGCAAAATGTTGGAAATTTGTTTTACATTGCCCATTCTGTAAAATGTTAGAAATATTTATATTTCCGTTTCTTTAAATATGATATATTTTCGATAACTCCGCCTGACATTTTGCAAAATGAAAGAAATTCGTTTTCATACGTTTCATTCTGCAAAATGTTAGAAATATGTTGTCCGTTTATATAATCATGTCTTTTCCATAACACTGCGCCTGACAATCTGTAACAAGTTAGAAATACGTTTTCACATGGTTCCGTTTCTTTAAAAACATGTGTTTTCCGTTACACTGCGTTTGACATTCCGCAACATATTAGAAATATGTTAAATATTTTCCGTTTCGTTAAATATTATGTATTTTCGTTAAAAACGCCTGACATTTTGCAAAATGTTTGAAATTCGTTATCACGTTTGCAAAATGTTAGCAATATATTTCCGTTTTTTTTAATAAGTATTTTCAGTAAAACCGCTAGACATTTTTCAAAATGTTAGAAAATCGTTATTACATTCGCCAAATGTTAGCAATATATGTTTTCCGTTTCTTTGAATATGTATTTTTGGTAATACCGCCTTATATAATGCAAAATGTATGAAATTTGTTTTTACATGGTTCATTCTGCTAAATATTAGAAATATGTTAAATGTTTTCCGTTTTCTTAAATATTATGTATTTTTGGTAAAAACGCGACATTTTGCAAAATGTTCGAAATTCGTTATCACATTTGCAAAATGTTAGCAATATATTTCTGTTTCTTTGAATATGTATTTTCGATAAAACCGCCAGGCATATTTCAAAATATTAGAAAATCGTTATCACATTCGCCAAATGTTAGCAATATGTTTTTCGTTTCTTTGAATATGTATTTTCGGTATATGTATATGTAATAATACCGCCTTATATTATGCAAATGTATAAAATTTATTTTCATATATCAATCATGATTGATTGATACTTTATGTATATATAGATGTTATATATATATACACTTTATAATAATATATTATAAAAAGAGCTTTATTGAAAATTGTTATCTGTTTCATTACACCTATCTTTTATAAACTTTTACAATTCCGAGGAATATCAAGTTCTTGAATTAATTTTAAATAAAACTAAACGAAATATATTCTCAGTGAATTTTCGTTTAGTTTTATTTAAAATTAATTCAGGGACTTGATATTCCTGGGAATTGTATTTGCGAAAATATATAAATATTAAATATAATTATTATGTAACTGCAATGTAATTATTTTTATAGCTGTTATATAACATTAGAATAACTTAAATTACAGTTATATAACATTTCAACAACTTTTATAACTACTATATAACAGTTATATTACTGTGTT